TTCCCATTTTATTAAATACATATTCTAAACTGAGAGGAGAATTTAAAAGTAGAAAAAAGACTACTGCAGATTTCTGTTTCTATAAGTAATTAGTCAATGAAAGGTGAGCTTTGGAGGAAATTATGTTTCCCTTTTAATTCTGTAATAATTGTCTCTAGATGTTTTCCAGTAAACAGATTGCTGACTTGCGGTTTAGCTGTGTTAACACATATTGGAATTTGCAAGTTAATTTCAGTTTACTCCAAAGACTGTCTAGTTTTAAAGGAAAGGAGTTTACTACCTTCATTAGGGCATGAATCAAAAAGGATGTGGATCACATGAGGTCAAAAGGGCAGACTAACACCAACCTTAAAAGACCATTTGGGAGCAATGGGTAAATATCATCAGTGAAGTTGTTTTTAATACATCATGATCTTGAGAAATTGTAGCTTTAAAGCTAGCACTACTCAATTTTAAATACTGTCAATCAAAATCAGTTAGAAAAAAAAAATCCACCTAGCAGTGTGCCAACACTACAGTTTGAATTTAAGCCCAAATGACCAACTAAACCACAACTATTTAAGTGTGAATTTCTGATAGTCGTAAATCTTCCTGTACGATCTTTTCTGAAAGATATGCACAGAGAATCCTTCTTGCTCAAAATGCAAGTTACATGTACAATGATGGGAGATCCAAATAGAAAGTCATCCAGGTTAGATTTTATACACAGCAATGGACAACAGTGCAATTAACCAATCTCAATGGGCAAACTCACATCTTCCCTTCCTGAATCCCAGATGATTTGGCTCAACAGCCTTCTTTGTTTACCTGAAGCATTGGCTCATTGTGATTTGAGGTCTTAAACAAGAGATTCACTTTCCTTTTCTTGTGCACTTTTCTATACATTTTGATATAGGGTTTTCTTTCTAATTAAGAACATGGTTAAGATAAGAAAACGATTCAAAACTGTTGTTTTAGAAGAGCCTCTCTTAGTCATTTTATATTATTTTTATGGGAATCTTACAATAGCATCTTTCAGGAGGGTGTAAAATAAGGGATGCCATCACTAACATTTATAAGGATAGCAGAAAAAGGAAATCTTGTCTTTCGCCTTGTTTTCCCCCCCACTGTTTAATGCAAAGACCCAAGTTATTCACAGAGATCTGGAAAAAGGGAGGGGTGCGTTGATGTGTCACATACAACACAGAGGCTCACGATTAGGCAACTGGCTGGTGTTTTTTATTAGGGCCAATTCCAGCCTGATCAGACTTGAAATTCAGAATCATCATATGGTACTTGCTGCCTACGTGACCTTGAACAACTCACTCAAACTCCCTGTGCCTCAGTTTTTCATATTTAAAATGCACAGGTTAACCTAGATAGCCTCTGAGGTCTCTTTGTGCTCCAGCTCTCGGTATGACCCTGGGCAAGTCACTTAAGTTCTATCTGCCTGTTCCCTCATCTATAAAATGGGAATAATAATAGTACCTACATCCTAAGGTTGTCATAAGACAATGAGATAATGACATGAGATAGTATTTCTACAATGCCTTGTAAACTTTAAGGTATTATATAAGTACTAGATGTTATTATTATCCTATTATTTATAGGAATAAAAGCATCTAAGAGGAAAAAATACCTAAATTTGATCCATGAATTCAACAATGATTTAAGTGCCTACTATGAGTAAAGCCTATTCATTTGCTGCTCTAATTTCTACATTCAGAAGCTGATTGGATTCTATCCTATCCATCCCAGGCAATTTCTTAGGTTTCATGTAGAAACACATGTAAAATATTCAATTGTACCATGGGGAAACTGATTTTGTCATAAGAAGTTTCTATGTTACTGCTCAGTTCTGATTAGTTCTTAGTTTCGATCTCAACCAACCTACACCAAACACTCCAAGCTATTACATACACCCTTTAGATTCTAAAGTAAACTTGATCTCTGTATTGAAAAAAGAAATTACAGCAGTTTGAGAGGTACCAAAGTGGCAAGTTTAAGTCATAGCAACATGATACACCCCTGAATCAAATGTCTGATTCTAGGAGTTTAAATGCAAAACTGATTGAATGAAGGAAGTCAGCAGTCAGAGCTGCCTCCCACATTCATTGAAGTGTGGACCCTGCAGTTCCAACACTGACCTCTTCAGAGGCTTGTATTTCACAAAATCTCCTGTGGGGCAGCATAAGTCCACAATTCTAGTTTAAGGCATGTTCTAAACTTTGGGAGTTTGTTGTATGACACAGAGTAGTAGGAATGAATAAGCCATGGTCTTGGGATTTGTCTTTTCCTTCCCTAATCCCTGCCTCTATATATACATACCATACACTTTTATGTGTACACAAACACAAATATATAGAGAGAATAGTTTTCAAATACATATAAATGTGTGTGTATATATATATATGTGTGTGTGTAGTAAACATATTGTACACAGGGTAAATTATAAAATAGCAAATGCATATTGTAGGACAGTAGTTTGGGATGATCTACACTTGAGATTTCTACCGTAGCAATGAATTATCGGTCTACAGTATGTGAAGAAGGAAATATCTCATAGAACCTCTGCAGAAACAAAAAAACGATTACTATGATCATATACTAGTTTATTTCAAGGGCAACTACAGGGCAGTGCTAAATCTTCACCAGAAGATATGTCATAATTAGATTGTCTTTGAAAGCCTGGGATTATATACTTTAGATGGGTTTGTGAAATGGACATCACAGTTAAAAATGTATCCTCATAACTGTTGGAGGTCATCACTAGGATGGAAGGATTTGATCTCAGTGTCAAAAATATGAAGCATCAGACCTCTTAAATATACATATATGTATGCATATATATGCATGAAAAGTATACTGTCTCCCTAAATGAAGAAAGTGATACAAAGAATTACAGTTACTACTAACAACTAAATCCTAATGACCACAACACATGCCCCTGGACTAAAGTCACAAATGGAGTGCTTCTATACTAGGATTTATGATCAAGGAATAAAGATATTTTGATCAGTCTTTATAGAAAATAAATGATATAAAAAGTTAGTTTAAGTGAAATCTTAATTATTAAAGTAGAGTTTTCTCCTGGGTGTAATGTCATTTCCCAATCAGAACTAAAAAAAACTATTAAGAAGAGTGTAGAGTGGCAAAGTCTGAATCATCACAGTACCCAAGAAGAGTTAAGGCATTTAAGAAGGCACTTGAAAAAAAAAAACCTACATATTCCTGCATTGAAATTTTACCACCTTTTTCCCAAATACTACCTGCACATTTGCAATTCAAACTACCCCAAGCAGAGTCATTGAAGGCAAGGAGTCCTCCTTGAACCTATTTTCAGCTCAAAGTTAGCAAATCTTTGAAGGAGAAAAGGTTTTTTTTTTTTCTTCTGTTTCTTCTTCCTAGAGTGGCAGACTCAGTATCAGCAGGTGCACCACTCTAGAACTTTGGAGAATAAAGACTGGTCCTGTCACAAGCACAGACAAACTATTTCTCAAATACATGACAGCAAAAATCTGTAAGCTATGATTAAAAGTTTAGGGAAAGTTAAAGTCGAACAGTGGTTTCCCCCCTCTGCTAGGCTCTGACAAATACTCCAGTTCACCTATTAAGAAGAATTTCTTGAATTCTGCCACCCGGATCACTCTGGGATTTCAGAAGCATTCTAACTAGTGGGTGTGAATCAAGAGTTGCTGACCTAAGACATACACACATGCTTTTAGGCTAATAGTAGAGAAAAGGGAGAATATACAAAAGTGCTAATTACAACCAGGAGAGGATCCGGACTTTACCTCTGCTCCCTATCCAACCACTACGAGTAATTGCAGGCACTACCTCACCCTAACCCAAGGGATCCATACACTTTCCATTGCAAGAGAAGGGTTGATGAAATGCTGTCAAAGTAAATCTGTGCTCACTTTTTGAATGGTTTAATTTCAATGGAGCACGAAACACCGCAGGACAGTTAATAAGTTTAGCCAGGCGTACTGTTCTCCCTAATATATTTTAATTATGCATCTGTTTTAATTGTAATCAGATTAAGTCACCGGAAAAGACACAAATTGGAATTTTCCCTAATGGCTAATGGAGCTTTTCATCAGTTTCTAAACACTAGCACATTTAAGGGGGAGAAAAATAGGTATGGACACCAGCACCCGTGTGACATTTTCCAGAAATCGATGCAGTTTCTTTGACAACACAGTTCAGATCTCATTAGCCACCCAAACTAACCCAAATGCAAAAGACCACGTCAAAGCCCCAAGGGCTTCATCTTTCCCAATTGGCATACAAGAATTGCTAAGCATAAACGAAAACTCCCAAACACAAATGAAAGCTGAAGGCTTATATAAAGTGCTGCTCCATCGATCTTATATGGGGGCACATCAGGGGCAGCGTTATATTGCCTTAAAGTACTGTACAAGCAGACAAGGAAAGTTGAGGCAAGCAAGGGGTTCTTATTCCGGGAAATTAGCAACTGTCAACCGCCTGTTTTCGCCTCTAGAAATAAGTCTCTTTTTTTTGTTTTTTGTTTTTTTTTAAGGGGGGAGGGAGTTGCAAGGGAAGCGTTATTAAAGGGAAAATGAGGGGTGCGGGAAAAGGAAGAGGTTTCCTTAGTGCCCAGACACAAAATCACTTAATTTGTTGTAGTGACACCAAATAATACTTGTTTGTTTGTTTTTTAAGCTAATGTTCATTGAATAGTTTCCCAAATAGCAGAGATTTCCTTTAAGAAACTTTAGTGCCTGCAAACACCAGAAAGAAAGAGGGAGAGAAACCTGCAGAGAAACTAGGAACTGAAACTAACTAGTCCGGTTTGCTCCCCGTGTGTTTGCTTGGGGACTGGGGAGGAGGGAGAGGGGGGAGGAGTGACGATTGTTATGTTGTTGAACCCTGCAGCCGGGACCACTCTCCCTCCAACTCGGCTCCTAGGCGGACTCCGGAGCCAAGCCAGCCAGGCAGCCTAGCAGAGTTCCCATCCAGCTCCTTTAGCCTCCCTCCCACTTCGCCTCCCTTCTTACCTGTCATCGTAGCAGAAATCCGCACTCAGGGTGTTGAGATACAAGACGAGCCCCAGGGCGCTGCTCACCAACTCAGCAATCATCTCTCCACCGCCTTCCCTTCTGCTCCCTTTCCAATACAAGGGCAGCCGCAACAGAGAAAGAAGCATCAATCCCCACCTTCCGCTTCTCCTCCCAGCTTCACTTTTCTCTCTCTCCTCCTCCTTCTCTCTCCCACCCTCCTACCCCTCCCCTTCTCCCCCCGTCTCCCCCCCCCCCAAGCCTTGGAACCCACCCCTCTTCTGATGCTCTTCACTCCTGGCCCCGCTTGTCTCCTCCTTCCCCGTCCCTGGGGCGCGGGCTCAGAGCGCTCTCCCCATCCCCGGGAGCCCTGGCGAGCCGGCAGCCAGCGAGCGAGCGAGCAAGCGGCAGGTTTATTGAGTGCTTGGCTTTGGGGCTCCCTCTTCCTCCGCTCCGCCCGGACCCTAACCCATGGCAGTTGGGAAAGGGGGGAGCCCTGGATGCGGTGCGAGGCTGGGGGGCTAGTGAGGGGACGACCAGGGGTGTGAGTGCGGGGAGGGAGGGATGGACAGGACGGAGCTGGGCTGCCGGTGCAGCTGGAGAGGACAGGGAGAGAGGGTCGAGAAGGGAGAGTGGGAGGGACGGGAGCGAGAGCTGTCTCTGCTCCTCCGCCTCCTCCTCCGCCTCCTTCCCCTCTTCCCCTCCTTCCCCTTGCACAGCTCTGGGTGCTCGCTTGGTCTCCAGCCGCCGTGGCGGGCGGCTGCAGCTCATTCACTCTTTATTAGCTCCGTCAAGTCCCCAACCCCTTCGGCACTGAAGTGAGAAGCCGCGGCTTGGAGGGTCGGGAAAGCACCCGCATGGGGCTCTCGGGGGCTCCCCCCGCGCCTGCGTGGCCACCCCTCCGTGCGCTTTCCTCCACCCGGGCAGCTCCTCCCACCCCTCAGCCTGCACCTCCTTGCCTGGATCTCGGACTCCTCCTCCTTCTCCCATATTCTCTCCGCCCCTCCGCTCCCCCACCCCACCCCCCATCTCAGGCTTCTTTAGCCTTCAATTTCACACTGGAAAGCCACCGAGACCAATCGGTGACTGTTGGAAGGGAGCCCGAGAAGGGGTGGCCGGAGTGCGCACAGGGGGAGGAGAGAAGGAAGAAGAAAAGGGCGAGAGAGAGACTTGTTCTCCGCTCCTGCCGCCGGGGCGGCGGCGGCTGGCACCGACTTGGTCCCCAGCCCAGGCCTCTCGGTGCCAAGCACTGCCAGTTGTCTCTATGGTCAAACTGGAAAGTCATCTGGAGAAGGAGAGGAGGGAAGGAAGAACAGGTTTGGAGAAAGCTGCGTTTTCTGTGCGTGCAAACACACACACATACCCTGCTCCGGGAAAGAAATGGGACTTTAATTAAACACCCCCCCCCCCCAAGGGGCATTAACTCTGAAAAGGCAGGTTCCATTGCGCTATCAGATCGTTCAGAGGAATGTTGGCAGGAAATTTTAAGGCGTTTCTGGCAGAGGACGTGGTTAAAGAGGAAAGGATGCGAGCAGGTGGGGGGGTCATCAAATTAAGACAAAGAAACAATAAACACACCCTGAGGCTACTAGAGACTGGTTGTGGGTGCAGTTAAACGTGCAGGAGTGCTCTGAGCAGGATGGAGAAGTCCCTAGTTCGGTAGTTCCTCTGTAAAGTACAGGAATCTTTCTAGGGTGGCACAAACCTGGAGGAGCGGCTGAATTCACCGCGTTCCATTTCCTCGGGCGTGAAGGCGGGATACGCGCGCACGGAGGGAATCCCGCCCTGGGCTGGGGGATGTAGAAAGCCCCGAGAGTACCAACGTTCCAACTCTCCTATTTACACCTAAGGCTGCCTTGGACCGCTAACAGCACTACTACAGCGCCCCCTGCTGCATGGTAGCAACGATGCATGAGAACCTGAGCATCCCCTCCTCCAGAGTTGGACTTAATCAGAGACGACCCAGCAAGTGTGGACAAGAAATTTGCTTCTCTGAACCCCAATAGTATTTGTCGGTTTCCCGGTACGCGAGGGCCTCGTTTTCATCGCCTACAAACAAAACCAGCCGGCTGTATGATAAATAAGCCTCCATCTGCCTCACAAAGATTGGTCCACCTGTTTGTAACAAAGTTGAAATCTGATTAATATCGCTTGTTCTTTTTATAGTACGTGTAGGCAATATTGATATGCCCTTGAAAAAGCATTCTCCACCAGCTGAATGCATTTATGATATGTCTGAAGGTAGGGGTTGATCTGCATTCACCGTGTACTCAACCATAGTGGACTGCGGAGTACTTAAATATTAAATAAAAACAGATTGATAGTTCCAATCTTGTCTTCACCCTCTCTTTCCGTGCTGCCCCTAATTTATTAAAATTTTATTTCAGTGTGTAATCTAAAGTTCCATTCTCCTTCTTAGTCAAGAACTAGAACCTGCATGACTAAAGGACATTTTGGAATGCCTAAGGAGATCGCATTAGAAGAAATTAGCAACTTCAGTATTACATGGTTGAATGAATAGCCCCAATTTCTATAACCTGATAATTGTATGTAAAAAGCCAGAAATTCCATTCGAATCCCAAGCTCTGTACTAATTACAGGAGAATATTGTAAACATGGACTTTAAAGGATAGAGAGGAAATGGGGAGAAAAGAGAGGGAAAAGAGGAAGTTAAGAAATCCAAGGAAACCATCAGTTCTGCAGAAGAGCCATAGTGGGAAATAATGCAGTGATACACCTCTTCAATAATTAAGAGGACTTGGAAGCATGGAAGTATTAAAAGGGTTTGGGTTCAGCACGCTAAGAGCTTGTAAGCACTTTCCAAAGTTGACTCCATTTTCAAGCCACCAATGGTTTTAAATAAATATTTCTTAAAGGCTGCTGGAACGTGGCACATCCTGCTGTCTCTGATGAATGGATGACTGGAGCTCAAACTGTATGTGCAAAATCTGGTAGCTTTTAACAAGTTTTTCTATTATTATTTAACATGAGTCCCTCCATCCTTCTGGTGCATTAAGCACTAGCTAAGACTTCTTTCAGACAACCCTCAAGGGCTATTGTATAGTCAGCCCCTGTACTTCCCAAACACCCTGAGTTCCTTCTGGGAAAATAAGATTATAGTTTTCATCAGTGCCCAGACTATAGAAGTCATTTATTTAAAACTTAGGGACATTGCTCATTAATTCACAAAAGCAAGCTGGCCCACTGCAGCATATTACTTCAGTTCTGCAAAGTATGGGCCGTTTTAACCTACTCTTGCCCTACAAAGATCAGGGGAATTAAACTGTACAAGGTGGGCTTTTCATCTTTGATATTAAACACCCCAAAGCCCTTATTTCCAAAACCCCAAAGTAAATCTGTTCCATGCATCCTCTTTTCCAGCGACCACTTCCTCAATGAATTCCATTTATGGGCTCCAGTACCTTCTCAATGTTTGTGCTCCATTCCCAGCCTTTTATTGTGTGATTCATACCTTTGGAGTGCCAGGTCCTCAGGGAAAAGATTTTGTTATTTGCTTAGGACATATTTAGTTTATTGTGCAACACCGTCTTCCCTTTGGGTGCTGCATGAATATTAACTAAAAATCCACATATGGTCTTGGTCATAATTTCTACTTGTCCTAATATAACTTCTCTTTGAACAATTCATTTAGAAAGCATGCCAGGGGTGAAATGTGGCATGTAAATTCTCATGCTAAAAGGAATGTTTTTAATAATACCCTCAGATCTGAAAAACAATGCAGTTCTTCCCCCCAGTCTTCTCCAAAATCTAGAGTCGCTGGTTCCATCTAAACTTGTGTTTTTCAAAAAGGGGGAAACAACAGTCTCCCCTGCCCTGAAATCTTTTTTAGAATGACTGTGGACCAGAAAAAACACAGGCCCAGCAGGTGAGATAGCTAGTTTGAGGAGTCTGGTATAATAGTGATATGCTTGTGGAATTACAGACTCCAGGCTCAGTTCAGGAAATAACCCTGCAGGAGAAAAACAACAGACTTTATGAAATGTGGGTCAGAGATCTACAAGAGGAACTTAGGATGCTTGGGTAGCTAATGATAGTAAGTGCCTTAGCTATATATCTTCCATCTAGATGTTTCTCAGCATACTGTAATCCATCACACTCTGGGACCAAGTCTTTTTTTATGATCTGTGATGCAGTCAGAAGGCAACCAGGACAATGTAAGCAGAGAAATGAATCAAATTTTGGCTATAACAAAAGTGAGACTTTTACCAACCAGATGCTGCCAAAGTAATAATCACTTTAAAAATCTCACATTATCTCAGCCTTCAGATTCAGTAGGTGTGGGGGTGGGGGGAGGAGAAAAGGAGGAGGAGGATTGTAAAAATAACCTGCTAATAACAAGATCTGTATAATAGCAGACTAATGATAGAATCCAGAAATTCAATCAAGAAAAGCAGGGACAGCCTCCCTCAGACTTTCTCAGTGCCTTCACCAGCACCTCTATAAACAATGAGCCACAGATTCGAAGAACTTGCACAATAAATGCAGAATTTTTTTAAATGGGATCCTGAGTCTATTTGTAAAGAAATCTCTGCACCCTAAAAGTGGAACTTAATGTACTTGGTGGGGAGTAGAGAAATGAAAGAGTTTAGATGGAAAAATTAATTGGGACTTTATTATTAGTAGACATGGGTAAAGTCTATATATCAAGCTAGATTTCAATTTTTATCTGAGGGTGGTACGATCTTTATTTTTTATTAAAAAGTGGCTAGTTTGAAGTCCCAGAGAACATACCGTGAAATCTATCTAACTCCTCATGGCAGAGAGGCAGAGGTCACATAGGGCAGAAAAATGATATTCATTACCAGATATAGAATCATAAGCTAATGTGCCCTAATACCTGAAGGGACACCAGAGGTCATCCAATACGATTCCATCATCTTATAGATAAGGAAATTCATACCCAGTTAGGCTAAGTGATTCACCAGAGATCATAAGTGTGAAGGCTTAGTTACAATTCTTCCTCACAAAACAATTCAGTTTGAAGAAGGAGGCCTAAAATGAATATGATGTCAAAAGACAAAAGACATCAATAAAATAAAGTGTCCCAAAAATCCTAGTGTCATTTAAAGTTTATTACTTTAAATGGCACTAGGACTTTTGGGGACACTCCATTTTTCAAGTACCTTCCTTAGAATTTTTAAAGAAGGATGCCATCATACAGAGGCATCAGGGGGTAATCAACTATCCAGAACTGGGCTTCAGCTGTGACTCTCCACCCCACCCCACCCCCCAGCTATTCATTTTTATCTATCTCTAACTATTTCTGGGATGCCATTAATACATAATTCCTGTACAGATTCCCATTTGTAAGTGCTGAAAGCCTCCTGTGTTATAAGAATAAATTG